GATGGGGCGGGAGGGAGGAGAGGTCCCGCCGAGGGACTCTGGGTGAGAGCCCAAACACTTGCTTCTCGCCCCTGAGAAGGGGGCACCTTCCGCTCCTCCCCCTCCTCCCCCGCCTTCCGAGGGCAGACTTGAGCTGCGACCGGCTCGCCTGGCTTTGTGCACAGAGCAAGGCTAGAAAATGCCTCGGTTGGCCGCCTGAGGGGATGATTGCGGTGGGGGGTGGGGTCTGTTTTCTCTCTAGTTCTCGCTCCCCACCCCCTTCCCTGCCTGCAGAAGGGTAACCAAAAGTGGCGAAGTTTGCAAATAAGGGGAGCTGTCCTAACGCAGTGATCACACCCACACGTCCGTACCTTGAGGGCTCTGCCGGCCGCGGTCATCCTCTCCCAGCCGAGCCCTGTTGGTGGAACCCAGGGTTCCCGCGGACTACACGCGGAAGAGGGGGGACTGGGAAACACCAAGGACTCTTCCCTGGAAACCCAAGTTGTCAGTCCCTTCGGACCTTTCCACGAGCTGATGCTCTAAAAACACATCAACAAACAAACACCGTCCACAAACAGTTCCCCGCCGCCTTGGGAAGAACTGGGTCAGGGGTAAGGAGTGGAGGGCAAGCAGGGGACAGAGGCAGCGAGGGACTAGTGCTAGGCAAGCGGATTATGTTGTATTTCCTCCTATTATCAGACTTCCAGAAGGAGAGACCACGATTTGTGCATAAAATGTGTACCCCGGAGTGGATGAGACTGAAGGCAGCATTTGTGGAGGTTAACCTTGACTGGTTGGAGTTAAGGGGGCTGGGGGTGAGGCAAATATTTCTGTTTGTGCCCTCCGGCTCTTCCCAGCACCGGCTGTCAATCCCGACGCTTGTTATCCTCACAAGGCTTCAGTTTGTTTGCCTGATCTCAGCAAGGTTTTCTTCCACAAGTAGAACTATAATTGCTATAATTCTACTGTATCATTTGGATCATTGCAGTATTGTTGTTTTCTCTCCCTCTTTCTCTCCTCCTAACACTGCAATAACGCGCTCCAGTGTTAAATTAGCAGGTTGCGGAAGACCATAAATGAATGAAAGTTTGTTAAAAAAAAAAAAAAGAAAATAAATAAATAAAACAGCAAAATGATTTGGCAAAGGAGATATCACATCGCAGAGACTCCTTGAGTGTAATCAGGACTTATTGTCTTCCCTTCCAATGGCTTCCAATTTGGTCGCCAGACTCCAGTGAAGTTTATTTCTATTGTTTAAATATATGTTTTGCAGAGGTTGAGCATAATTTAAGGGGACCTGAGTGTCCGGTGAGGCTGGAAGCCCGTCACTGCTTTATTTACCTATGCGTATACTGCACAGTAAATTAAAACATCTCAAATGAAAAGTGTGCAAGGTTAACTCTCCTCCAAACATCCCCCCCCATAATGACATTTACTGCCACCCCCTTATCCTGCATTTCTTGCAAATATAATTTTGAAACTGCAATGTAGAATTAGTTCTCACCATGGAAAAGAAAGGCGTTTCTTCCATCCTCCTTTTCTAGGTAATTATTATTTCCAGTCCTGGGGACAAGCCTCATCTTTTGCCATAAACAACAGTTTTAAGCACTTCTGACCCTCATTTCTGGCCATAAATGTCATTTTTATTTCAGTGATTGACTGTAAAGGCAGATGAACTGCAAACTATTGTTTTCTAGGCAGCCCAGGGAAAATTAAAAAAAAAAAAAAAAATTTACAGACCCCAAAGACCAGAGGAGCCAGGAGTTGTGAATAACAAAGTACAAACATGAATAATATTACCACTAAAATGAAATTAAATGATCCGTGGGGAAAAGAAAGTGAGATGAAAGGAAAGTGAAGGGTCATTTTGCTGACATTAAATATGAAATTGGCTAACCTAAAAGTTTTGATACATATCCTATAGCCCAATTCTTACAAGTTTACCTACTCAACAAATCAATTAAATTCTTCCTAGATCTTAGAAGTATCATTTTTGTTTTCTAAAATAACAAATAGGAAGGGTGCCTCCCTGGCTTAGTCATGGGACTCTTGATCTCCCAGTCGTGAGTTCAAGCCCCATGTTGGGTGTAGAGCTTACCTTAAAAAAATTAAAATTAACAAATAGGATAGCGCATACATCCTAAACCCATATTCTGTCTAGACACTATGGGGATGCCAGCAGGTTCTGTCTTCCAGTGGGTATGCTGGAAAGTTTTCTGTTGTTGTTTTTAATTTAATATTTCAGGAATAGCAAAAGTCAATTGTAGATTTTGAAGTTGGTATTGAATTGTGACAAAGATCATCTCAGGGCTATTGGGTGTAAAATGAACGGGGTCGGGCCCTTCTTCCCAAAGTGAATGGACGTATCTTCCCAATAGCGTCCTCACAGCGGAAGACTAATTAGAAATACCAAAAATGAACAAAATAAAATAACAAAGCTAGTGTTTTCAAATAGGTTTCCCAAAGAAACACATCATATTCCATTAATAGAGTTAGATTTAATTCCAGGGGTCATTAAGTCAGAATCAGAAATTCTATGTTAACCTCCTCTTTTACAGTGGATGATTAAAATTAGAATACACCCCAGCAGAAAGTCCGACTTCTTTTTTAAAAAAGGAGAACAGCTGCAGAAGGGGGAGGAGGGAGACGGAAGCAAAGAAATCTTCCACCGAGAGAGCTGAAACCCTGTTAGGCTCTCAGAAATGATTTGTGCGTTTGTGTCTCTTTTTGTTTAACAGGATCTTTTTTGGACTCGTTTTTCAGCCCACTCCCTGCGTGTGCGGAGCCGACTCTGAAGTCACGGAGCCACCCAGCAGCCGGGTCTTGTGGATTTCCGACGCGGGGCCGGGCGGGAGGGAAAAGTGCCTATGTTTCTCCCAGCGACCAGCCGCAGGGACACCCGCGAGGGTCCGCGGCTGGAGGCTTGGAGGAGACGGTCGCGTTTTTACAGCTGCATCGAGACCCGCTTGCCGGGAGTGGGCTCTTGGGGCTGGGGAGGGAATCAGTGCGCAGAATGTTAGGTGAAAGCTGGATGGGACAGTGTAAAAACTGGAACTGTTGGTGAGGATGGAAAAAGGAAGAATGCAGGAAAGGCAGGAGAAGATCCCAGGTGCCTTGGATCAGCAGGCAGGGCTTAAAAGAAAATCGAATGTCAGAGATAGCTCAGGGACAGCTCCGTCCCTCAGCCCCATCATCCAAGTGTAGGAAAAACTGGTGAGAATCAAACTAAAAAACAGAAAGACAGAGAGAGGGACACAGACATATTTTCCCTCTTGCCTCTAATAGTAGTAGTATTATCAGCATCAGTATTAACATTATTAATGTACCTGTTCCCAACCCTTCATCCCCCTCAAGTTGTGTCTTGAATACTCCTGCCAAGCGAGCCCGATCTTTTGGCCACCCACCCACCAGCATCCAAGAGTTATGCAGATGTTTATGGCTGGAAAAAAAATCCCAGTTATGCATCCTTGTATTTTTAAATACTGACTGTAAGTGATTCAAGTATAATCCTTTGTAAAACGCTTTTCTCTTTGACACATTGAAGGGGTTGAGACAGAAAAACCCGGCGTGGATTCCCCCTCCCTGAACCCTCTCCCACCCACCACCCTTGCTCCCAGCCTGCCATGGTAGGGGGTGGGGGGCTGATTGGCCCTTGAGCCTTGCACCCAGGCAAGGAGGGAGTCCATGCTAGCCCCTCGCCCAGGCTTGGCCCAACTTCAGTCCCGGCTGGTCTCGATTCTCAGCGCTGGACGCGCAGGAAGTTGTTTGGTAAGAAACGCATTCAACCATAGGCTCATTCTCTTACCTTTGCTAATGGTAGCCAGGCCCTAAGAATTCAAAATTTTAGGTGCTTACGCTTGGTAGAAGCCGAACCTGGGTCCTTCCCACCTGGGAGAATGCAGGGCCCCCACAGGTCTGGTCCCTGCACGAGATTTGAGAGTGTCCAGTCTCGGGGTGACAGCCTAACTAATGGAGGCGAACTTGCGGGAGGAAGAGAGAAGCGAGTCTGGGGAGGAGGTGGAGACTCCCAGACTCCGCAGTTGACACTCGCCTGTCACGTTCTGACCCGTAGGTGCTCAAGTGAAGGCCGCGGGTCTTTGGCAGAGCTTGGTCCTCAAGAGGACTATTTCCAGAGGTCAAGACGGAGACGAGAAAGGTTGGGGGGCATCTACGAACCCGAGAGCAACCTCCGGGCTCAGGGTGAAGACTAACAGCTCAAGGCGTCGGGCCACAAGAGTAAAGGGAACGCCCAAACAGTAATGTTTGCTTTCGGCCATCACCCTGACACCTTGGAGGCCCGTCCGGCCTAAAGGGCACGGCGACCGGGCGCTACTGAGATCGAGGCGCCGTCCTGGAAGCACAGCCCTGGCTTTGCAAAGTACCAAGTCGGTCTGAACGCGAGCCTCAAGGCCTTGCCTCCAGGAAGCGAGGTCCTCTGGTTGGTGGAAGGGGCGCATGGCGCCCAAGTTGCACCCACAGGCCTGACATCAGAATAAGCTAGAGCTTCGGGGCAGCCCTGATGGGATAAAGGAGAATCCACAGGAAGAAGATGGAGAACTTAGAAAATTGTTAGTTAAAAACAAAAAAAGAAAAGAAAAATAGTTTGGGTGAGTGCCCGCTCTCCCCTTATCCTCCGCAACCCTCCTCCCCAACGCCGGCCTTTCCGGACTCCAGTCCGGGCTTTGCTCTGAGCCCGCAGCCCAGCGCAGCCCGGCCTCTGGCGAGAGCCAATCAGAGGGCGCCTCTCAGCACGTGGAGGAGAGAGACTCCAGAGCTCCGCGCCCGCCGCTCACTACACTTGTTACTGCTTGTCCTGAGCGCTGAGAGGGCGAGCTTGGGCTGCGGGCAGGGCGGGAGCCAGCAGCCAGCAACCGAGGGAGGCAGAGAGGCACAGAGATCGAAGTAATATCCATTACAACCAGCCATCTAACCCCACTCCCTAACACACATCCATCCACCCCACCCTCCAGGAGAGGCAGCCAGCGGCCCCGCTCTCTGCGTCCAGGGAAAAAGCCCCAGCCATGAGCAATCAGTACCAGGAGGAGGGCTGCTCCGAGAGACCCGAGTGCAAAAGTAAATCTCCAACTTTGCTCTCCTCCTACTGCATCGACAGCATCCTGGGCCGAAGGAGCCCATGCAAGATGCGACTGCTGGGAGCCGCGCAGAGCCTGCCCGCCCCACTGGCCAGCCGCGCCGACCAGGAAAAGGCTGTGCAAGGTAAGGCTGCGCCCGCCAGGCACCTGCAAAGAGTGCTGGGCACTGGTTTGGATGTTTGATGTTCGGGGCCAGGGGCCTGGGGTTATCAAGCTGGAGATGGAGGACAGAGAGAGAACAACTCTGAGGCCTGGTGCCTCAAAGAGCAGCAAACATCTCGCTAGGGGCTGTCTCTCCCTTCCTTTCAGCTTCCTGAAGCACAGGCCAAGCTTCGCTTTGGGGTGGGGGGGGCTTAGAGTCTCAGAATTGGCCTTTAGGTCGTTCCAGTGCTTCCTTTGGTGGCCTTGGGGGTGCTCTGAAGAGGGGCCACCGGTCAGAAAGAGCAGGTGCCGGGTGGACCCTTGTAACAACTTGAAGACAAGGACCCCTAAAGCTGTGAATAGGGGTGTCCAGGTAGACTGAGCCTTGGTCTCTCCTCTTTGGAAGATTTCTTCATTTGTAGTGCTCTCCACACCCCCCATCCGCCCCCCACCGTCCGCCCCTTTTTTCTTTTTTTAATTGTAGCTTACTTGTGACCTTTTAAACCCAAGCTTTGTAGAAAACATCTCCCTGGGATTACCCAAATGCTCCTTATTGTATTTGAAATGTATGAAATGTGCGGCTTCTGGGTGCTATGTTTTCTCTGCTGTGTTATTTTTTAAAAATAGAGTTGAAACATTTAAAAGGTTTTTTTTTTTTCTAAAATTAAAAATTCCAAAACAACCGTCGTTTTGCCCCGAACCTGTTAAGCTCAAGTTTCGCCTTGAGCTGCTCTCAGAAGTATCACAGGGAAAGAATTGTTGATTCCTTTTAAAATCCGAAAACCAGCGGTCCGGCCGCAGCGCCCCTTGGAAGACAGGAGCAGATGGCGGAGAAGGAGAAGTTTAAAATGAAACTGACTTTTTCCTTTTCTTTTTTTAGCCTGCAGTGGCACCTGTGCCAGGCGCTTCCTCGAAGGGAAAGAGCGGCCTGTGCCTGTTGTGCCCCCCTCCTGCCCCCTCCCAGGCCTTTCCGAGCCCATTTTCCCCAGGACGATTTTTCTTTGCCTTTCTGTGCTAGGAGCCCCCGGCCCCCGCCCGCGGCGGGCTGTTGCGGCACGGCCCGCGCTCAGGGCCACTGGGCCGCTTCCTCAGTCCCCGCAGGGGTCGCCCACGGGCAGTGCCCCTCTCGCCGGCCTGGGCCTGCGTGGCAGAGCAGCGGGCAGAGGTCCTGCGTAAAGTTTTCAGGGTGGTGATGATTTTTTTTTTTTAAGTTGTTGAATGTTTTCAGATTCTTCTTTGCCCTGAAATGGGGAGGGGAAAAAAGTGAGAGAGAGAGAGAGAGAGAGTGCAAAGGGAAAGAAAAAGAAAGGAAGAAAGGAAGAGGAGAGTGAGCGGGGAAAGCGCACAAAAAGAAAGGAAGGAAGGGCGAGAGGAGAAAGATGAGGAAAGAACGTGAGAGACGGGTAGAGAAGGAAGGAGAAAAAGAGAAGGAAAATAAAAATGAAAGGGAGAGAGGGAAAGAAAGAGGTAAAGGAAGGAAAAAGGAAATGAAGGGAAGAGTGGGAGAGGGAAAGGAGAGATGAGAGGGACGGAGGAGGACAGAAGAAAAAAAAGAGAAGGAAAGAAAAAGCCTGAAAAGTGGGGAAGGAGGTGAAGGGGGTCCAAATCCGGTAGCGCGCGGGAGGGGGAACCGGGGCCTAGGGGCCGAGAGAGCAGTGGTGGGTCGGCCTCCGGCGGCGGCGCTGGCGGGGACGCCCGGCTGACTAGTGCGCTGACCGCTCTCCCTTGCCGCAGGCTCCCCCAAGGGCAGCAGCGCCCCGTTCGAGGCTGAGCTCCACCTGCCGCCCAAGCTTCGGCGCCTGTACGGCCCGGGCGGGGGCCGCCTCCTCCAGGGCGCCGCGGCGGCGGCGGCGGCGGCCGCGGCAGCTGCTGCGGCAGCGGCCACGGCCACGGCGGGTCCGCGCGGGGAGGCCCCTCCGCCGCAGCCTCCAACCGCGCGGCCCGGGGAGCGGCCGGACGGCGCGGGGGCTGCGGTGGCCGCCGCGGCCGCCGCGGCCGCGGCCTGGGACACGCTCAAGATCAGCCAGGCACCGCAGGTGAGCATCAGCCGCAGCAAGTCGTACCGCGAAAACGGGGCGCCCTTCGTGCCGCCACCGCCCGCGCTGGACGAGCTGGGTGGCCCGGGGGGCGCCGCGCACCCGGACGAGCGCCTCGGCCCGGCCAGCGGCCCCGGTGGCGCCCAGGCGGCGGGCGGCGGTACGGGCGCAGAGGACGACGAGGAGGAGCTGCTGGAGGATGAAGAGGACGAAGACGAGGAAGAGGAGCTGTTGGAGGACGACGAGGAGGAGCTGCTGGAGGACGACGCCCGCGCGCGGCTCAAGGAGCCCCGGCGCTGCACCGTGGCCGCCACTGGCGGGGTGGCCGCCGCCGCCGCCGCCGCCGCCGCCGCCGCCGCCGTGGCCACAGAGGGAGGCGAGCTATCGCCTAAGGAGGAGCTCCTGCTGCACCCAGAGGACGCCGAGGGCAAGGACGGCGAGGACAGCGTGTGCCTGTCGGCGGGCAGCGATTCGGAGGAGGGGCTGCTGAAGCGCAAACAGCGGCGCTACCGCACCACGTTCACCAGCTACCAGCTGGAGGAACTGGAGCGGGCCTTCCAGAAGACGCACTACCCAGACGTCTTCACCAGGTACGCGAGAGGGGCGGGCGCGGCTGTAGCTCGGAGAGAGCACCAGCGGGCCCCCGAGAGGGAAGGTGGGCGGGCGGGGGCCCCGGGTTCGGGGCAGGGACTTGGCTCTTGGACTCTACCCAGGTGTGTCCTCCCAGCGCACCCACCCCTACTCACAAAAAACTACGCCCACCCAACCCTACCCCTACTCCCGGCTTTAAGTTTGGACTGGGATCGCTCCTTTCCTTCCCAAAGTCTCTCCAGTTTAATTTTTTTTATTTTTTTGTCAAATTACAAGTTTTAGTTAGAGAAAAACGGCCTCTCCAAAGAGTGCCCGAAAGCACCACCTTGGAGGCACGCGCTCCCCAGAGCACAGACGCCGGACCCCAGGCGCTGCGGTCCCGGCCAGGCCCCAGGCCAGGCTCAGGAAGCAAAAACAGGGGCTATTTTTGGCCGCTGTGTGGTGCGCGTTCGCCACCCCCGCCTGATGCCCCAGGAGCCTGGTGCGTATCAGTTACGCTGTTCGCTGTTCACAGTGAAGCTGGAGCCCGTGCCTGCGGAGAAGGCCTTTAAAAAGATTCCAGTTCTGTCGTTTGAGGACTTCTGAAATAACGGGAGCAAGTCAGAACTGGGCAGGGTTTGGTATCTGCACATCTGGGGGGCAGCAGCCAGTCTTCCCCGCTCATCCCTGTGTTCTCTTCGCACACGCACGTTAAGCCCAGCACTCGTTTACTGTACGCGGGTTTACAGGGGCGGGCCGGGATTGCTGGCAGCCTGGCGGTCGGGAGACAAAACGGCGGGGGGAGGGGGATTTTTCCTCTTTGGACGGCTGTCCAGCCGGGGTATTCCGCCTGGTCACGCGCCACTTTCCTCTTGCCGGACTGTTTTGGGGAAAGAGGTGAGAAGACTGGACCCCAAGGCCCCAGCTAGTTCATCCAACCTGGGGCGCTGGCCGGCGGTGGGGGAGGCTTCCTCTCCCACCCGAAGGCCAAGGTCTGGGCTCAGACGAGGAGAGGAGCCAGGGGCAGGGCAAACTTCCCTCCGTGGGTAGTAGAAACCGATGGGTATCTGCCTGGCGCAGGAGCTTGTCAAGCTCGGGCAGCTCCTTCGCTCAAGACGCGTGCAGCTTTTCCATAAGCGGTTTAGAAGCGGAAGGCTAGCCGCCCCTTTGAACCCGAGGAGGAATCGAGGCTCAGAGCTCAGGAGGCCCGAGCCAACTCTAAAGTGTCGCTGATCTGGCGAGTAATTGCCAAACTCTCTCTTAAGCAGTCATGAAAAAGAAGTGGCTCTGATGCTGGCAGGCACTACACTTGGTCACCCCTCGAGCTAAAGCTGGTCCTCCCCTATACCATCCAGTCCCTCATCATCTTTAAAAAGAACATAAATTTCAAAATCGGTGTGTGCTATAAACTGGCTAAGTGGCCGCCCTGCTTTTTTGCATTTGTGACACATGTGTGTTTCAAAAGAAGAAAATGATGAGGTATCACTGGGCATCCAGGTCTGCCCTTTCTTAGCTTCTCCAAGGGGAACCAGAGTGCTGGAAGGGGAGCAGCTCCACTCCGGCAGCCGGTGCCCTCCTCTTTCCCACTGGGGGTTACCTAGAGTTCCTGGGCTCAGGCGGGGGAGCCGGCCAGAAGTGTGGCTTTAGATTTGCTGGTGCTCACGACAGCGGGAGGCAAGGGAAAGCGCTCGGTGATCTGGTTTTCTCTCCTGGCCCTGAAGTTCCAGGTGTGGACATGTGCCCTGCGGGCATTGCAGACCCAGGTCCCAGGCTGGGGCGGCCCCCAATCTTTCATAGTAGAGGGGGTAGAGCCAATTATTCTCTCGAGCTCATATTTTCGGTAAACAGGTCGTAAGCCATTTTACAGCATCTTAATGGTTTCCTATTTGCCTTAATTGTCGCAGTAATAACTGCAATGACGGGGTAGGGTTTCAGTTAAATTGACTTCCCCTGAGATGGGCAGGGTTTGTAGTGGGCACTGGAGTCAGGAGGTGCGCAGAATTTTGTTTAATCAAAAAATTACCCCACTGAACTCTTAACAAGCTTAACATATCTCCAGAGGGTAATGGGGAGTATGACCTAAGGGGCGAGGGAGGGAGGGAGGGGGGCGGTGGTGGGGGAGAGATGGAGGGAAAGGCGAAGAGCTGGAGAGGGAGAGAGAGAGAAGGAGGGGGAGAATGGGGTGGGGGGGAGGTAGAAAAAAATTTCAAGGCAGAAAGACACCAAGGGCAGGAAAATAATTTTTGGTTGAATACTGAGTTCTTCTCCCATGTAACATTAGGACAGAAGAGGCAGTAAGCATTGTGTGCATGTGCGTTTCTTGTACAACTCTGGCTTATGGGAGACTGAGGGGGAATCCGAGTACCAGTTAGTTTTATGGACTCAAGAAGCCACCCCTGTCACTCTTGAATATAGTATGATACAAGATAATATCTTATACCCAGCAATGTGTTGTGTGTTTTTTATGTTTTCAAACAGTAGGCATTTTGGTGGTGAAGGACTCATGAGGCCCATCTGTTTGGGGGTGAGGCAGGCAGCCAGGGGAGACCCTCATGGCGGAGGCCTGCCAGCAAGGGGAAGGTGGCTGAGAGGGCTTGCCGGAGCCTGCTGTGACCTCCTGTCTGTGTGTCGCTTTCTTATAGGGAGGAACTGGCCATGAGGCTGGATTTGACTGAGGCCCGAGTCCAGGTGAGCTGCACCAGCAGAGAGAGAGAGGGGGGAGGGGGAGGGGCGGGGAGGGGAGAAGAGTGGGAGAGAGGGGGGTGGATGAATTGGGGTGGGTTGAGACCCCCCTTCATAAAACGAAGAGAAGCAGAAATCAGAAAAAAAAAAAATAGACCCAAACACTCATGCACAAAAAGACGAAAATGTGAAGACCTGGGAGGTTGGAGGGGAAGGTTTCTGGGTTTGGGAAGCTTGAAGAAGGGGTCTAGGATCAGAAGAGGGGTTTCAGGGTCTCCGCACTGCAGTCAGGAGCCCCCCGGTTCCATGGCCCCTGTAGGAAACAATTGGAGGACTGACTTCTCCTGATTGAAATAATGGGATGGAGCATGGATTTGGTTGTTAGACAAATCCGCTCAGCTCCAAGCAGGTATTTGGCTGCGATTAAGTCTCCAATCGGGCTTCATAAAAGCCCACTTAGTGCTAGAACAAACAGGGCCATTTGAAGGCAAAATGCTGTTTGATTTCCCCTCCGCCTGCACAAGGAGCTGGCTAATGCTATTTGATTTCCCATTTTTTATAGCAATGAGCCCACATTGATCTAATAGGGAGTGAGTGCAATGCTATTAAAGGTGTTTGCAGCCCCATACCAGAGTGCATTTCCGAACCCAGGCCTCATAACCAAAGAGACGATCAACACTGGGCAGCCCCGATGGCCAACAGAAAACAGATGTCCCTGGGTTAGGAGCTGAGTGAATCACTTTACAGTCAAAATCAAGCGCTGATAAAGCACAATAAATTCCATATGGCTCATTTAATACACAACAGCTTCTTGCATTAGAGGGCTAATGATGAGGCCTGTCCCCTCCTTTCTGTTGACACATTTCTCCATTGTCAAACAGAGATGTGACAGCAACTCCGTATTTTCAGCTCAGGGGAACGAGTCGTGGGAAAGTTAAATAACTTTTAAAAAGAAAGAGAGCGCCCCCTCCCCTTCTCCTCTCTCCCTATTCACTGGAGAAGATGTAATTAAGTGAATATGAATTATTAGAGCCCTTTCGTTTACCTTTGGGGGGCCTCAGAGGTATTAATTCAATAATGAGGAATTGCAGGGGGACATCTTGATGATTGCAGTTGAGCCGGGAGAGACGATCTGTCTGTAAAAGGTTTCCACGTTCTTTGAGGGCATTCTGCCTCCCTTGCCCCCTCCCCTCCTCCACTCCTTTCACTGCCATCGGAGAGTGGCGGATATTCTCGTCTAGACAGATTTGGATACACAAAAGGCCCACCCAGCCTGGTCCCATCTAGTCTTACTTTTCCAAGCCTCTGAATTTCCGCACTAGAGTGTTTCTCTAATTCACAAATAGACTGTTTGAGTGCTGTGGCATCTTATGGATGGCCCCCTTTTCAGCAGCGTTTGAAATAATCAACTGATGTGGATTCTCGACTTCTCTTGTCATAGGGGGCTGTCTAGAAGGCAAGCCCAGCTTAGCTCCCAGGGCTAGTAGGACAACTTCCAAGTGTGTATATACGAAAGGCACGGATGTCTTTCAATTAAAAAAAACACACCGAGTCCTCTGGGATCATTTACATTATATTTTCATATAACTCTGGAGAGTCCTGGAGTTCATTCTTAATTTTTAGACTCGTGTGCAGGCATCACCCCAGGCCTAAAAATATTAATGCCTTCAGGGGAGAAGGAGCATATCTTATTAGCTGTGGGTGTGATGAACAGGTCACATAAAAATAATTTCATGCTTCTGGGAGTTATTTTTAGATTATGGTAGCTGCCACATCTCAGGTGAAGGTCTCTACTAAAACAGCTTTCTATTAACAATTAGGAAGATACCTTATGCTGGAAACCTCCCCCAAGCCTAGAACTGTCTTATTTAAATAACCTGTTTAAACCACATCCCGCAAAGAAATCAAGGACCTGTTAGCTCTGAAGATGTGTGAAGTCTACAGGTAGTCCGCACTCTGATTTCTGTTCGTCCAGGGTTTGCTGCATACCTGGGCCTGGCAGTCAGCGCCTTCCTGGCGGGAAGCAGGCCCTGCACAGAACCCCCGCAGATGGCAGGCCGCAGGCCCCATATTTCCTTTCCCAGAGAACTGCGTCCCTACGCTGTATGCTTGTTTGCTGGGGCAAACCCAGCTTTTCCTGCCCGCCCAGCTTTCCCCAAGCCCCAGAACCCAGCTTAGTGCTCTTAGGTGTTCAACAAATATTTCTGGAAAGAATAAATGAACCGCCTCCCCGAGATCCCCTTTTCAACACAGCGGGGATTTTGCCAGCTCTTGGGTAAACCTGAAATAGGCGGAACCGCTGACACGCAGTGGAGAGCCCGTGTGTGTTCATCCCTGGGTGGCTGCCCACTGCCAAGAGTCCCAGGCTACGGCGAGCTCGCACATGCTTTACGTTATACATTCCACACAGCAGTTTTATTATCACCATTTTACAGATTAGAAAACTGAGGTTGAGAGAGGTTTAAGCGACGTGTTTAAAGCTGCCCCGCAAGCAGATGGCGGCGACGTTTAAACCTCGGTTTCCCCCTCTCTAAACTCTGGGACCACTTTCTTCCAACTTGGAAAGGAACCAGGCGGTTTCAAATACGCGCTGCTGGAAAGGCTTCCCGGCCCCGTGTTTCCTGCTGGCTTTACGTTTGGGCTCCTTCTGGCCACCCGTTTGGCCCCAGAGGTGTCGTTGAATAGCCGGAGGCCAGGGAGGGGCGAGTGGGCTCCGGCCCGGGTGGAAAGAAGAAAGGGCCCCGCAGCACTGGGGTGGGGGGCGGGGAGGAGGCCGGGGCGGGCCCCCAGCGCCCGCCGACCGTGGCTCTCTCCGCGCGTTGCAGGTCTGGTTCCAGAACCGTCGGGCGAAGTGGCGCAAGCGGGAGAAGGCGGGCGCGCAGACCCATCCTCCTGGGCTGCCCTTCCCCGGGCCGCTCTCGGCCACCCACCCGCTGAGCCCCTACCTGGACGCCAGCCCCTTCCCTCCGCACCACCCAGCGCTTGACTCGGCCTGGACGGCCGCCGCTGCCGCGGCCGCCGCCGCCTTCCCGAGCCTACCTCCGCCTCCAGGCTCGGCCAGCTTGCCGCCCAGCGGAGCGCCGCTGGGCCTGAGCACTTTCCTCGGAGCCGCTGTGTTCCGACACCCGGCCTTCATCAGCCCTGCGTTCGGCAGGTAACGCGCGGCCTCGGGGAGTCTGTCTGTCTGTCTGTCTGTATCATACACACACGGAGGCTGGGATCAGGGAGGAGGCCGGAGACAGGCCGCAGCTACACACATCTTCGCTCTTTGGCCAACCCGCAGAGGTTTAGCCAAAGAAAATACTCTCTAATTTTGCCTCAGTGTGGATCTCGAAGGGAATGACTTGGGACTGAGCAGCAAAGGGGAGGGCGGTGGCAGTAACAGCCGCCCTGTCAACTGGGAGTGTTCAGTGAGAGCTGTACTAGTACCAGCTGAAGGCAGCAACCACTCAGGCCATAGCTGGTATGCGTGTAACCGTGCCCAGGTGTATCCTACGGAGCTGAGATGACTCCAGATTTTGCAAAAAGCCTTCCCCACACCCCAAAGCCTGGCAGAGGAACACAGTTCTGGTTTCCACAGGAGCCCTGGAGCCACCGGCCCTCTGGGTGCAAAGAATTCTTTCTTCTTCCCCAGACTCTAACTTCCCTGTCATTCAAATGACCCGCTGCCAGCCATATTCCCATATGTGCAACCCCCCCCACACCCTCACGGCAGCACAAGACAACGAAATAAAAGAAACAGTTCATCGTATATTATAATTCCCTTTCTTTAAATGAACATCGAATGGTGAAATAAAAAGTCTGTATAATCACCCAGACAAAGAAACAAAGGAGGGATGTATTAAGTTGGAAAGTGCAGTGAAAATAAAACTGAGTGCAGCTTCAATGATCTCTCTTTGGGAGAACAAAGAAATAACAGATTCATCCAACTGCGTAGCCACTTAACAAAAATCATCTTAGAGAAAAGTTTCAAAAAAAGACACTAAGTAAAAGTAGTTTCATGTAACGAACCGATAAAATAAACTGCACTGAAGTGTAGTTAGTGACTCAGTTTACCTATGGAACCAGGGCATCTTACACACCCCCTCCAGGCCACACTTTATTTTTTCTGGGAAAACAACTTGAAGTCCTGTGTCCCTTGAACCAACCCCACCCCCACCCCCTTTTCCTTCGGACAAGTGACTTGTAAAAGCTGGCAAACCATGGCTGGAGTACCAGACTTCGAGATTTGGAGCGGTCGCAAGAGGAGTGCGGTGGGGGTGGCGTGAAGGGTGGAGGGTGACTTGGGATAAGTAGGAGGCTGTCCTCGAACCCTAGTGGGCTCATTTCTAATCGTGGAAACTCCCAGTCGGCACTGCGGGAGTTCGGAGCCAGAAACCTGGCGGGGGGGGGGCATGAGGGGGTTTGGGGGTGGTAGTGTCAGGTGGCAGGGGGGTGGCTCTGGCCTCAGCTGCAGGTCCGCTGTGTTGTGAGAAGGGGGTGGAGGCGCCGCGAGAAGCAATCCCGGCGCCGCCTGGAGTTGGTGGCGCGGACTGGGATCCCAGACTTGGGGTCCGAGGCTTGCGCGTCGCCGTGCACAGCGCGCGCGCGGGAGTCGCGGGTTCGGGGGTTCTCTGGGTAAGAGGCTGCGGGACGCAGGGAAGGCGATGGAGAAAGAGTGTTGCTGCGCCGGGACGCGGGGCGGCTGGCGGGTCGGAGCGGCCTGTCTAGCGGAAATCAACAGGCGGGCGCCCCCCCACCCCCACCTCGCGGTCATTGGCTGGGCACTGGCGGCTCAGTCTGGCGCGGGAGGGTGGCCGTGTCGGCGGGAAGGCCAGCAAACCAGGCCAGCTTTTCCGGGCAAGAGGAGTCCCCCGCCGACAAGGCGCCCTAGGGAGAGTACAAAGTCTGCAGCATAGGTCTGGATCGGTTTTGATCCCACTTTCTCCCTTCTTTATCTTTTTTACTTTACTCCTCCCTCTATCTCTCTTCTTTTCCTCTTTGTCTTTCTTTTCTCTCCTGGCAACTGGAGCTCCCGGCCTGAGAATACAGCCCCTTCTTATGCGAAAGCGCAGAATCCAGGCAATGGGGCCGTTGGGTTTTGGGCCACGGGACCTGCCTCTGCCCTGGCTCAGATCCCCTCAGGATATCTGGCCCCTGGGCCTCGCCCCACCCCCGCCACACACCATCGGTTCCCTGCTCTAGTAAAGCCCTCTCAGAGCACCCTAGCCTCCCACCCGTGCTCCCACCTGTACCCCAGCCCATGGCCCACCCTAGCCCTGCGACTCCGGGCTTCTTCCGGCGGCGCCCGTCTGCACCCTTGTATGGCTTTCTGCTCCCCGGGTGGGAGGCGGCGGGAAACGCTGCCCGCCCGCTCCCCTCCCTGCCCCCCCACCCCCGGCGCCGCGCTCAGCTCCCGAGGCCGTGACCGCGCTGTTTGCTCTCCCTGCAGGCTCTTTTCCACCATGGCCCCCCTGACCAGCGCGTCGACCGCGGCCGCGCTCCTGAGACAGCCCACGCCCGCCGTGGAGGGCGCGGTGGCGTCGGGCGCGCTGGCCGACCCGGCCACTGCTGCCGCAGACAGACGCGCCTCTAGCATAGCGGCGCTGAGGCTCAAGGCCAAGGAGCACGCCGCGCAGCTCACGCAGCTCAACATCCTGCCGGGCACCAGCACGGGCAAGGAGGTGTGCTAAAGGCTGCCCTCCACCCTCGCGCCCCGGGCGCACCCCGAAAGGTCACCTCACTCAGCACCACTCAAGACCAAATGGAAACAGAGGACCAGCACACTCCCGAGACGGCACTGAGAGAGCGCAGCCGCCTTCGCAGCAGCCTGGATGCGGGCAAGGCAGCCCCTGGCGCTACCGGACGTGGCACCTCCTCGGCTGGCTGTCCACCCGCCCCTGTCCCCGCCCCTGCCACTGCCAACCTCGTTCCCACTCGAACGTCCATTCTCTCCCGTTCTTACTTTGCTGAAAATATCGGAGAGGTTTTCTCTCCAAGACGCCTGGTATTGAAGTTAAAAAATTAAAAAACCCAACCTCTCTTCCTCCTGGCACCCCACTTAGCTTTTTTTTTTTTTTTTTTTAACAGCATTTTGGCGCTCTAAGTTGATCTCCCAAGCGTGGGCCCTGGTGTGAAGCCAGGGCCAGGGAAGCGAACGCGAATCTGTAAGATAGCTAACAGTGCACTTAACAGAAAGGGGCGTCTTGTTCTTGTTCTCTTCTTTATCATACACCAACCAAGGTTTTTATATCAAACCAAAGGGAAATACTCTGCTAGAATATGGACTGTTGAAGTCACCAAACTGTGATTATTGATTCTGTACATACCATTGTTATTAAAAAAAAAAAAAGAACAGAGCTTTGTATATTTGAAATGTTATAACGCAATTGCACTCAGCGTGGTATGGTAAAAGTTTGTCCTCCTGTAGATTCTTACTGTGTTGTAGATACGGTAGGGTTCCTAGACAAATATTTATGTACTCAAGCCCTTTATTTAACTTATTAACTGTAGAGGCTTCCGAAACCTTTAAGATAAAGGCAATGGTACAGTACTTTTGTGTAATGTGTAATTGTTATCACTTTTCCTTGCTATCTAGTGGAGAAGTGTCACGCTCAAAATAAAAAAAAAAATTATATGTTTAACAAAAGGAAGTGTGAATGCTCTATGCAGGCGCTGTGGGGTCAGCACACTGGGGGCCCCCCAGAGGCCAGGGGTGGGCTCCGGCGCTCAGGCACCTTCTCGGTTTATCTGCGAGCGCGTTCTCCTGGCAGAGGCCCCAGGTTTGAATCAGATCCTCGAAGGCATTCGGGTTTCGTCCACGAGTTAAGGACGCTGCCGCAGCGCTTTCCGCAGCATCTCGCCTTCCCCGGGTCGTGCCGCAGCGGGAGCTGAGAGTCCGGGGCTACGGACGTGGGTTGGACCCCATGGTGGGCGGTGGGTGGACGGTAGGCGTTGTTGACGGTGGAGATAGAAAGTTGAAGCGAGCAGGAGTCTTGGCTTGGAAGGTGAAGGAAACTGTTCGTGGAAAGTGCCACGTAACAAGGAAGCGCGCAGTCCGAGATGACAGGTAATGGCGAGAGCAGGAAGCCGAGGCGCTGGCTTCCGAGGGGGCGGGCTCCACAGTAGACCCGCGGGGAGGAGGGGGGGGGGTGTGCGCGCGCGCGCGCGCGCGCGCGCGTCGGTGTGTGTGTGTGTGTGTGTGTGTGTGAGAAAGAGAGATGGGGAGAGGGAGAGAGAGAAGAACGCAGAAACAGTGATGGAAAGGCAGCGAGGGGTATCCAAGTGGCAGATCTTAACTCGACAAATGTCATTACATCACTTATCCAGGCATTGGCAAATGTATACGTTTAAAAAAATCTAAACAACTCAGGTTTCTTGAGGAGACCCCATCAGATTTGCAATCCGTAACCCCCTCGGCGCACTACTCCCCGCGCCGGGAACGGTGGCTTCTCCCTCCCCCGCCTCGGCCCTTCCTGCGCCCCTCCCGGTGACCGCGGGGGAAGCCCGCCCGCGGGGGCTGGGTCTCGCCGATGCTCCCAGGGTGATGGGAAAGGGAAGAGAAGCTTAATTAGTTTCAATTTGTAGTAATTAGCGCGCCGGACCTTTGGGGAGAGGGGCAGGCGGGGGGTGGGGTGCCGCCGCGGCGTGACTACCGGGCTCGCGGAGCGGGTGCCAGCCGCCCCGCCAGGCCGTGGGCCAGTCGGGCGCCGCGGGGGGCAGGGGCGGGGGCGAGTCTCCGGGTCTGCCGTCCGGCTCCGCGCGCGCTCCCGGGCCGCGCCCCGCAGAAGGGGGGGGGGGTCCCCTTGCGGCCGGGAGCGCAAGTGTGCGCGGCCTAGGGGCAGGTGCGGGGTCGGGCAGAGGTCGGCGGTAACTCGGGGGCGGATAACCCGCTCAGCAGCTGCCGCGCTCGGGCCCGGGTGTCCTCGGCTCGCCCCCCCCACCCCCCGCCCACCCCGGCGCTGAAATCCGGAGCCCCCGCCTGCTGGGAACTTTGGGGAAGGCGCCCACGGGCTTCGGGGCCACGGCTGCTTTCCGGCCCTGGGCAGTCGGGTGGGGCGACCGCCGCCGAGCCCGGGCTCCGGACTCACAAGGACGGAGCTCGAAAGCAGAAGCCCCGCCTGGGGCCAGGGGGAGCGGGCCCTCCCACCACCTCTTTTCAGCCACTGCGGCCACACACCCCTTTCTCGAGTTTAGCAGGCCCGGCGGGAACTTTCTAGGACGTCCCCTCGCGATCTGAGTGCCTCAAACCTCCAGGCTCCACAGGATCTCCTGGTGTGAAGGCCCCTTTCCTGGGGTGGGCAGGGTTACTCTGGAGTTGGAGGTGGGGACAGGGGAGGGCAGGAGAAGAGGGAGTGAGGGAAAGGCTTTTTTTTTTTTTTTGGTGGTCAATATCAATTTTCCCTCGATTTTGGCTTTTTGTTTAGGTACGGCTTTTTTTCCTCTCCAGACTGCCAGTTGGATGTTATACGAGAAACAGTACCATTCTTCCTGTTAATGAACTCTTTTTTAAGTCATTTTTTCTCATTTGACCCTTCCATGGAGCAGAAGCAAATTGCGTGAAATTACCTCCAAGGATTACATTTATTACTGGCCAATGAGAACCCCTTGCCTTGTTTTACAAACTCTTAATCCTATGTCATTCTGATGCCACAAACAAGCCCGGTCCTGGGCCTCCTATTCTTTCAACTTTCCCCAGCTGGAGGGACCTCATTCTGCACTTAATATTCCCCATAAATATCGCGCGCTAAAGACCCCCTGACTTCCAGCAAGTCCACATTAAACATGTGACATGTCACGCATGACAAACTCTGAGTATCTTTTCAAAGCAGCATTAAAAGCAAAGAAACCAATTTTCTTCTCCTTCCAAACCTCCCCAAGTGCTGAATGATGGGGATTGGAAAGAGCCACTGGAGCGTACTTAGGGGGATTTTATGAGATTTTCCAGAATGATTTAATCTTATTGTGAGCATTATTAATGAATGGCAACCCAATTTGGCCCCAATATCTGGGAATGCAGTCACAATGCTGGGAGCGGCTGACCCCCCCCCCCCCAACCTTAAGCAAACCTCTTCCATCCTGGAGGAGGACATGCCGAGCCCAGGGGAGTTCAGGAGAGCCCCTGCGATGGGGGCATGGCTGTCCCCTGTCACACCCAGGGCAGAATGCCCCACCACCTGCTTTCCCAGGGCCACCCCTACAGAATCCTGGGATGAGGGGTGATTGGGAGAGTCTGTGGGAAGGGTGAGAGAAGGGGAAAGTTAACTTGCTACATTTTCAGACAGGCTAGCTGGATCTGGATAAGGCCCTGGAAGGAAAGGCAAGAAGGGATTAAGTGTGCCATAATATTATCAGAAGGTGCCCCTGTGTTCTTCTGTCACCAACCACCCATGGCCTGGAACGCGACGGTTGGGGTGGGGATCCTAGGTTTGTGGTGGGGAAGACGGAAGTAGGGTGAATTAGAGAGAGGGACTATTGGAGAAGGTTTGGGACTTGAAACTCAGACTTCAGCTAAAGTCACCAGTATTGGCCCCAGCCAGTTTCCCATTTTTTTCCCCCTCCTATTAGCCCACTCCTCTCCCTAATTGGGGCAAACATTTATTACTGTTGTTTTGGATTTGTACAACCCAGAGACAAGGCACCCGCAGTTCTCCTTTTCGCATCATTTTGAGTGTAGAGATCTTACTGGATTAGAAGAAGGGGCCGATGTTAGAGGGAAGAAAAGTATACACGGGTTCATTGAACTTGCCTTTAGAGGGCAAAAAAGGTGTGCGTGAGCATGCGTGCATGTGTATACACAACAGTGTGTGTGGAGGAAGGGGGTCTTTAACGGGGCCTAAGAGGGTATTTTGGAACCCTGAGTCCCATGGAGGAACTGTGTATTTCACTGCCAGTGGCAGGATGGCTGGGGGTGGGGAGTAGGAAACCCGCTACCTGCCAGGGTGGGGTGGGGGGAGAAGAATTTTTCACAGGAAGAAAGTTGTGTTGTCTCTGGACGTTATTAACGGTCCACTTTGAAGTATACATTTTTTCCTTTAAAGAAAAGGGAGCGATCACCAGTTATACATTACGAAATGTCATTCAGTCATTTTTATTCAATTCTCCGGAAATCTTCGTAAAAGCCTGAATCATACTTCTGCAAGCAGCAATTTTGTTAATCCAGGGGGTTATTACTCTGGGCCCTTATTAGGTTCTACACCACTGCCAAGCAATCCTATAACCCTCTCAAAAGAAGTTTACCTCCCTGTTATAAAACCAGTAGTGGTATTTATACTGTGCAATAATTAGTGTATTACTTGAATCCACTAACACGTTCATTTTATCTCCGCACAAAACCTCTAGTCTGCTTATAGAAAGCTTGTGCCTCCTTTGGTGCTGGTAAAGTGGTGAAAAGAGTGAATTGAAGGCTGGTTGCACTTTCTCCTTTTGCCTCGCCTTAATTCCCATCTCTTTTTGCTCTCATCCAATTAGCACAGTGTATTAAGCGGTTTATCATCTCATAGTCAGCTATTGAGAGAAACAAGGCGAGCACTTTGCAATAGAACCTGCGCTCCTTTGACACCCTCAGGTACTTACATATTCCACTGTGCTATGAATAATAGAGGAAGAATGGAGCGCTAATTCCCTCATCAAAGAATGCCTTGTCTGCTGCTTTGCTCAACAACACCATTCTGATCAAAAGAAAAGCAATAAA